CCTGACCTGTAGGTATAGGCTGCGGTCCCCAGAGCAGCGACCATGAGCACCAGCCCCACGAAGAGCGTGGTCCTGCCGGTGCCGGGGGCAGCGCCTGCAGGGACAGAGGGGGGGCTCAGCATCCCCCCAACCACCCACCAGGACCCATCTTCCCCCAACTCCCCCAGCCCCCCAATCCCACCTCCCACGGCCACCCGGGTGCTGGCCATGGCCAGCCCGTTGCCGTTGGCCAAGGAGACGTTGAGGCAGTAGAGGCCGGACTGGTTGAAGTCCTGGCGCAGGACGAGCTGGCAACCGGGGGACGGGGACACGGCCGAGCACGTCTGCGCCTGCGCCGTCTGGCACTCGGCGTCCGCCACCACCGTGCACACCTCCTCGGGCAGGCTGTGGTTAGGGGGGGTAAAAGAGGATGGAGGGGGTCACACCACCACCTCCTCCTTGGTTCAGGGTCCCCCCCAACCCTGGGGACCACCCCTCACCTCCCCTCGCAGGTCACCGTCAGCTCCACGCTGTTCCCGCTCCCCTCCGGCACCACCGGCACCACCTGCACGATGGCCACGCTCTCGATGCCCTCTGCAATGGGAACAGGGGGGGGTTGTGGGAGGGGGTTCGGACACCCTGAACCCCCCCTCCTGGACCCTCCTGGACACCCCCCATCCCAGCGCTCACGGACGATGTCCAGTTGGGTGGAGAAGGTGCCGTAGCGGTAGAGGATGCAGCCGGTGGGTTCCTCGGCCGGTGCCTGGCGCTTCACCAGCACCAGCGGCGCCGCGGTGGCCTCAGGGGCGGCCGTGGGGACAGCTGTGGCTCCAGATGTGGCTCCAGCTGTGGCAGCAGCCAGGGATACAGCCGTGGCTCCCACCGTTGCTCCCGCTGTGGCTCCAGCTGTGGCTCCTGCCGTCGCTCCCACTGTGGCTCCAACTGCAGATGCCACCATGGCTCCAGCTGTGGCTCCAGCTGTGGCTCCAGCTGCAGATGCCACCGTGGCTCCAGCTGTGGCTCCAGCTGTGGCTCCCACTGTCACTCCCACCGTGGCTCCAGCTGTGGCTCCCACTGTGGCATCACCCGTGGCTCCAGCTGTGGCCACATCTGCAGGAGAAGCAGGAGAGGCTGGGGAAGAGCCAGGGGGGGCTGAGCCCTCGCAGGGACCCCCCCCAGACACAGCCCATGTCCCCCCCCTCCTTACCCTGGGGGGAAGCACCCACCTGCAGCCACCGTTCCCTGCGCGGGGGCCGAGGTGACCGACGCGTCGTCCCCAGCCGGGATCACCGAGGTGGGGAGCAGGGGGGCTGCGGATGCCGCGACGGTGACGGCAGTGGGGTCGGTACCCACGGCGTCCACGGGGGTGCTGGGTGTCAGGAGGGTGGGCTCCGTGACGGCGGGGTCCACGGCCTCGGTGGCAGCGGGGTCCATGGCTTCAGTGGCAGCAGGGTCCATGGCTTCAGTGGCAGCAGGGTCCATGGGCTCGGTGACGGCGGCGTCCGAGGGCACGGCCACTGATCCCCCCGTGGGCTCTGCCGGTGATCCGGAGGGTGCTGTGGGCAGAGCAGGGATGGAGGGGACACCCCTGGCAGAGGGCACCCCCAGGACCCCCAAGGTGGGCACCTCCGTGCTCCCTTACCGGTGCTGGGCGCCCCGGCGGTGCTGGCCCCCCCCGGGGTGGTCCCGGTGGGCTGCGTGGCCGTGGGTCCCGCCGAGGGGGGTGGTCCGGTGGTGGGGTCCATGACGGGGGCGGCGGAGGTGCCGCAGGGGCTGAGGGGGATGGCGGCCTGCAGGACCAGGCGGGGGGCGAAGGAGCCGGTCTGTAGGTAGGTGTGGGTGACGGTGGGGCTGCGGGAGATGAGGGTCCCGCTCTGGTCCCCGAAATCCCAGGAGTAGGAGACGTCGGCGTCGCGCAGGTACCGGCTGGGGTCGTGCAGCCGCACGGTGAAGGCCACGGGGCGGTTACGCACGAAGCGCCCGTCGTCTTCCGCCGCGTCCTGCACCTGCGACACGTCCACGGCGAAGGGCACCTGGTCTGGGGGTGGGTGGGGAGGGGGAACAAATCGTGGGGGGCACCGTCAGATAGAATCATAGAATGGTCCAGGTTGGAAGAGACCCTTGGGATCATCGAGTCCAACCATCTCCCCTACTCTACAAAGTCCTCCCCTACACCATGTCCCTCAGCACTGCATCTAAACGGCCCTTCAACACAGCCAGGGATGGGGACTCCACCCCCTCCCTGGGCAGCCTCTTCCAACGCCCGACCACTCTTTGGGTGAAAAATTCCTTCCTAATGTTCAATCTAAACCTCCCCTGTTGGAGCTTGAAGCCGTTCCCTCTCCTTCTGTCACTAATGACCTGTGAGAAGAGACCAGCACCAACCTCTCTACAGTGTCCTTTCATGGAGTTGTAGAGAGTGATGAGGTCTCCCCTCAGCCTCCTCTTCCTCACACTAAACAGCCCCAGCTCTTTCAATCACTCTTCATAAGATTTTGTTCTCCAGCCCCCTCACCAGCTTCGTTGCCCTCCTCTGCCCTCGCTCCAGCACCTCCAGATCTCTCTTGGATTGAGGTGCCCAAAACTGGACACAACACTCGAGCTGTGGCCTCCCCAGTGCTGAGCACAGGGGCACAATCACCTCCCTACTTCTGCTGCTCACACTATTTTTGGCTTTCTTGCCCCCCTGGGCACACTGTGGCTCATATTCAGCCGTTTGGCAACTCGAACCCCCAGGTCTCTTTCCTCCAGGCAGCTCCAGCCACACTTCCCCCAGCCTGTAGCGCTGCAGGGGGTTGGTGTGGCCCAAGTGCAGGACCTGGCACTTGCCCTTGTTGAAACTCAGGCCGTTGATCTTGGTCCAGTGATCCAATCTATCTAGGTCCCTCTGTAGGGCTTCCCTCTCCTCCTGGGAGTCACCACTCCTGCTTAACTTGGTGTCATCTGCCAACTTGCTGATGTTACACCTTATGTCCTTCTTGAGATCATCAATAAAGATGTTAAATAGAAATGGTCCCAACACTGAGCCTTGAGGGACACCACTTGTGACCAGCCACCAGCTGGATTTGAATCCATTGAGCACCACTCTTTGGGACCTTCCAGTCAGCCAGTGCTTGATCCAGCAGATCCTGTGCTCGTCCAGGCTGTCAGATCATCCAGCCCCACCGGGAAATCCCCCACCCCCCGTCTTTTCCTCCCCCTCTCCCCGGTACCCACCGGTGATGCTGAACTGGGTGCTGGCGCGGCCGATGGGGATGAACTTCTGGCGGCCGCGGTAGTGGTAGACCACCACCTCCATGGTGTAGG